CGGAATTCTAGGAATTAACTTTAGCCCGTTTTTTTCTTCTTATATATATAAAAAGGCCGTTTTAACGGAGTGGCCGATTTACGATGATTTTTCTCACAATTTGAAACAAAGTTTTCACTTCTAACTACTTCAATAGCACCTTTCGATCTGAATTTCGTAGCTGGCGATCATGCTCTAGTTGTCTGCAGAAATTTCTTCTTGCATTTCACCATATAAACGAATCGACTCAAGTAACCATTCACACGGGCCCCTTTTACACAGGGTGCATACAATGCCTATATACATGTTAACATACATGCACAGGAACATTGTGGCTACATTGTGGCAGTGGGAGTTGCATTTAACCTAGTAGGCTGTCATTACAGCAGATTAGTGATAACCTAACTAATCTGCGGTTAAACATCGTTATCGACGTCTTCGGCTCCATGCATACAACAGGGAGTCGGTAACGTCGATAACTATGTTTAATCGGAGATAAGTGTTAACCAGACATTGAGTAACCGGCCCTTAGTCTGTTCCAATAGCAGTCCGGTTTACAGGATTAAGGGCCGGTTGTTCAATGTCTGGTTATCACTACCACTACACTATCGACGATTTCGACATCATGCATGTAACATGTGATCGATAAAGCAGTAGTTGTGCTTAACCGGAGCTTCTACCTCCAATTTGTGCTAATCAGACATTGAACAACCGGCCCTTAGTCAGAACTTACAGGAAGTCGTTCCTATTGACATAAAACCTGTAGGTGGGAACACTTTTGAGAGCGAAACTGAGCAACTGTTCCTAGTCAGAAGTTAGAGGATTTAGTCCGGAGTTTTTTTCCTGTGAGTTCATGAAACGTGTCAAACGATCAGCTGATTTGCATCTGCAAACAAAACCAGAAAGCAGTGAAAGCAGAGAACCTTATATATGTAAAAAAATGGAAGTTAACAACGAAATATTTGAATATGTATAATAATAATAATAGATTGGCGCTTACACATATGTTAGTGTTTGGCCGAGCTGCTCCTCCGATTTGTGGTGTGCGCTTTGATATTGTCACACAAAGCGGAGGGACCTACAGTTTCACGCCGACTCCGAACGGCGATTGTATTTTTATGAGAAGCTGTTTTTCATGGCAGAAATACAATCGGAGGTTTGCGATTGCCTGCCGTGGGAAGACCGCAGTTAAGAAAAAACCTTTTTTCTATATTTTTTGCGATGTTGCTTTGACCAGGGTTTGAACCCAGGCGCTGTGGAGTGAAAGCGCGCACTGCTTACCACTATACCACAGCGGCCGACAATGAATATGTATAGATTTTAATAATTATTTAGTGATATTTCAGCCATTTCAGTGTTGTACCAATGCCATGTAAACAAACCAACTGACGTTTTTACAGGAAATGGTGCTTTTTGCGTTCCCGTGCACTTCTGCATCTGTTCTCCTTTTACTATCACTTGAGTGATACTACGTTTATACGCACGTATTATTTGCAAATAAAAATTTGCAAAATGGTAAATTTTGCCGTATAGACGCTGAGTTAATTTTTTATGTGCAAATAACTAAATCACGCATATAAGTATTGATTAGTGGTACCATTTGCAAATAAGCGCAAGACGCCGCCATTGCTAGGTTTATTTTCTTTTTCGATGGTCATCTTATTGTCTTTTAATAATCAAGACGTTGCCATTTTTTACTTTATTTTCTTTTTCGATGGTCATATTATTGCTTTTTTATAATCAGGCAATATTAAAAAACAATTTTTCAACATCGAATAAACAGTGAGTTAGGTATTTACAAATTATTTAAATACTGCTTTATCGATCCCATGTTATATGCATGATGACGAAAACGTCGATAATGATGTTTAACTGCGAAGTAGTGACAACCAGACATTGAGTAACCGGCCCTTAAAAGCACATCATGAAACCAGCAAATTTATCGCTAAACGATAGATAAAATTTACTTTTACAATTTTATAAATGGGTCACATTCGTATTTAATCGCAAAATTTTAATTAGTCCTGTTAAATTATTTTCTTTCACCAATGGTTCCGGCAACCGGTCGCAGTGCCTTACGCAACCAACTATCTATCTATCTATCTAATGGTTCCGGCAAGTTAAAATGATCCAAAACCCTGATTTGTGGGACTGTAGGGGCTGGGATCGAGCCGCCATATTGGGAAAAATGGGTGGTTTCCTTACATTGCCATATTGCGAGCTCATACTAAGGGCCGGTCGTTCAATGTCTGTTTAGCACAAATCGGAGGTAGAAGCTCCGGTTAAGTACAACGACTGCTTTATCGATCACATGTTACATGCATGATGTCGAAATCATCGATATTGTAGTGGAAGTGATAACCAGACATCGAACAACCGACCCTAAGGGCTTACCTTGTTACATTAAGGTAAGACCGCCCTAGGCGACGCGACACTGCAGCGGCACTACGCGACACGGCGCGACACTTTTTGTTATATCGCACTGAAACTGCAGTGGCGCGACACTTTTATTGCCTTTTATTTTTATTTTCCTTGGCAAATTCTTCTCAAATATTATGATTCTTTACATACAATTTTCTTCTTGAATGAAGTGCAAGTGAATATTCACTCAAAATTGGAAATCCAATTACTTCAAGTTAAAAATATAGTACGAAATGTTATGTCGTTCCGCTAGGTATACCGTACTATGCGGCACCGGAACTGCGCGACACCACGCGGCGCGACACTTTTGCCTAGTTGGTCAACTTTGACGCGCAGCGTAGTGGGGTATGCTCCATAAGAATACATGCAAAGAATGTTTTGCCGCGCTGTGTAGTGTCGTGTCCCGTCGCCTAGTGCGATCGTACCTTTAAAGAGCCCTTTCAATTTTTGGATCTCTTAAGGGGTAGACACATACATATGTAAGTACATAAGCAAATTGTTTTGTTTTGTGCAATTTTAAGAAGATTCAAACTCATAAATTTTTTCAAGTAATAGGTTAGTATTAAAAACTTAAAAGAAAAGACTTAGGGCCGGTTACTCAATGTCTGGTTGACACTAATCTGCGGTTAAACATCGTTATCGACGTCTTCGACTCCATGCATACAACAGAGAGTCGGTAACGTCGATAGCTATGTTTAACCGCAGATTAGTGTTAACCAGATATTGAGTAACCGGCCCTTACGTTGACAAAATTTACCACATTGAAAAAAATTACCAAATTACCAAACTCGTTCAACAACAGCCGCTACAACAACAACAACAACAACAACAAAGCGGCAACGCTTGTTTAAGTCCGAAGTTCAAAGGAACAGACTAATGGGCTGTTTTGGCTTATGCGTAAAAGCACATTTAGCTCTAAATGCTACTCTAAATGTACATTTATCCATACAAAATTCGTCACCTAAATGCAACTAAATGCAACTCCATTTTTGCATTAAGAATCTAAATGCTAAAAGCAACCCCGTGATCTTCCAAAATTTCCACGATTCGAACATGGTTTAATGAGAAAAACTGGCAACATTGCTTTTTCGAGTATACAGTCGCTAGCTGCGTTTCAGTGATCGCCGATCGAGATTTCAATTATTATTTTACATTATTTGGATAAAGAAAAGTTACGCAAATTCAACATCGATATGATGCTGATAGAAATCTGGATTAATTTGTGATCAACTCTGTTTGTTTTGTTTCCTAATTAAGTGTGGAAATTATAATTGACAGCGCCGACAAATGAATATATACACAAACAAATGTTCGGTTATGGTTAAAAAATTCAAGTTTTTGTATTGAATTTTCGGTTTAGAATTAATTTTTTCCTTTTCAGTAGGGGTTTTTGCACATTATCTTTTCCGTGAGAATTTATCGTAATAGATACGGATCTGAATAAGCGACTGGAACAGGGCTGTTTGTCAAAAGCATACGATTTCGAACTCGCGTAAAAGTACATTTGCTAAATGCGGTAGCACAAACGCTCTTCGAAAACATATGTTCGAAAGTGCTAAATGTTGCATTTTAAATGCAGCAAAAACGCTGCATAATGTATATTTCCTCAAACTATGTAATACGTAATTTAGAGGTCAATCTTAATTTACGCATAAATTAAGTACAAACTAAGTAATTTCGCCTTGTAAAGTCTCTCAGTAAATTAAGTTGAAAGTACGTAGTTTATCTTAAACCAAGAACCAAATCACGAACAAATCAGTGTTGGTTCTAATTTTATCGATAATAATCGAAAAAAGTATTGTCCAATAACTGAAATGTCATTGTGTTTGGACGTTTTTGTTTTTAATAATCGCGCGTGGTAGTTTGTAAAATATTTCCAGAAGCTTTCTCTTTTGATCGCTCATCTAAAATCTAAAATATTACCACAAACAACTCAGAATATAAAAATATACGCAATTACTCACATTCGCGATCACTTTTGGTTAAATAAACAATAACAAAGCTGTCAAGCCAAATAAAGAATCGCGTGTATGAACGCACTTAATTCAGGGCCGGTTCAATGTCTGATTAGCACAAATCGGAGGTAGAACCTCCGGTTAAGCACAACTACTGCTTTATCGATCACATGTTACATGCATGATGTCGAAATCGTCGATAGTGTAGTGGTAGTGATAACCAGACATTGAACAACCGGGCCTTAGGGCCGGTTTCTCTATATCCGGTTAACACTAATCCCCCGGTAAACATCGTTACCGACCTTATCGACTCCCTGTTATATGCATGGAGTTAGAACGTCGATAACAATGTTTAACCGGGGAGTTAGTGTTAACCAGAGATGGAGAGGTATTTTAAACGAAACTAAGGGCCGGTTACTCAATGTCTGGTTAACACTAATCTGCGGTTAAACATCGTTATCGACGTCTACGACTCCATGCATACAACAGGGAGTCGGTAACGTCGATAACTATGTTTAACCGGTGATTAGCGTTAACCAGACATTGAGTAACCGGCCCTAAGTATTTTATGTTGGTAATGTGAACATAGTTTCAAACAAAGACTATCCATAGTGGCCAACGACCATTCGATAGTGCAAAAAATAGAACCATTCGATAGTATCGATAGCACAATCGATAGTTTACACCTCTAACCCTAATTATTGATGGTGTATTTGTCATTCCAAAGCCCAGGCTGTTTTGGTTAATATAAATAACAGATATATAGATTATAAGGATTAACCATATTACGTTTGGTCGTTCCTTTATGTGAGTTTGTTTACGCTACGTTTATTGCTTAGGTGTTAAATTTCAAAATGCATTTATTTGGTTCCTCTTCAAAAAAAATACCGAAAATGAAATTCTGAAAGTTATTTTGTGGGGAATCAGTTCATAACCCAAGCAAGAAAGACTAGAAATTCGCGAAAGCCATTAACTTTTATTTGCCTATATCGATATCGTATAAGAGTTAATCTTTTAACAAAAAAGCGGGATGTTTAGTATAAGTGAGCTTTGTTGCATGTTTTGCTGCCCACCATGCCCAGGACCGATCGCTGCAAAATTAGCATTCCAACCGCCGGAACCCACCTATAAATTGACACCAGCAGACGATTCTAATGTGAAGTACAACTTGCATTTATTTGAACGAGCAGAATGGCAGTATTCAGAACGCGATAAGTCAAAGGTTGAATCGTTCTTCACCAGAACCGCGCGTGGAAATCTTATTACTTGTATATATGTGCGTTGTAGTAGAAACGCGAAGTATACTCTGCTTTTTTCACATGGGAATGCAGTTGACCTAGGACAAATGAGCAGTTTCTATATATCGCTTGGTTCACAGCTAAATTGTAATATATTTGGCTATGATTATTCTGGATATGGAATGAGTGGCGGAAAACCATCAGAAAAGAATCTATATGCTGACATCGAAGCCGCTTGGCATGCGCTAAGAACCAGGTAAAGATGTTAGGTACACTTACGTAATATTAGGTATTAGGAATTATGTATTTAGTAGAAAAACTTGTAAATTGTCATTCTGTCCCTGTACTCAAGAAGTAGAATTAATAAATAAGAACAAATTATCGCGAATTTTGTCAAACAGCGTTCGCCAGAAAAATTGACTGGTGGAAACTTTCTTTTACGGCCGATTGTTGTTTGCCTGATGGGCGCAGGGGGAGTTGGCGTTTTTAAAAATGTAACTCCCAGCTGGCCTAGGCAGTCTTCTAGGGAGCCTTTATAAAAATAGACAAAAATCACAATTTTTACTTGCATTTTCGCTTGCTTCGAATTGATGACTTGAGCCTTTTCGTGTTTCCTGACAAGGGTATATATCCTAGGGTATATAATAGATTTGGGCGCTTTAGTTCTTTTGGGTGAACCGTTTAGTTTTAGTTGTTGTTGTAGCGGCTACAACAACCCCGCTCAGATCGGTTAGTCCCTCAATCGTTGCCGCCAAGGTCTATTAGCGATAGCCCCACGAAGCGTGCAGCCTCGATGGGGTCTGTCCATAGGGACAGGGGCGTCAATAGGGTGGGGTTTAGTGGACATGCGTTTAGTGGACCGGGATTTGTTGTTGTTGTAGCGGCCACAAACTCCCCGCCAAGATCGGTTAGTCCCTCAATCGTTGTCAAGCTCTACTACCGGTAGCCCCATTTCCACGACAGCCGGTTCTACGTACCGGAATGACTCGGGTTTTGCCCGACCAACGGCTGTTGTTTCGGCGATCTAACCCCGTTTAGGTCGGCGAAGTATCTCAGAAGTTGTTCGTCCATAGGGCTACATTCGCTACGTTTTCCAATACTCAGGGCTGGCATCGAGTAAAACCCAGGGCCAGAAACTTACACCTGCTGTGTATGCCAGAGACGACTACACCACAACTCCACCTCTGTCAAGTGCAATGCTTGCGAGGGGTGGAGTCACCTGCTATGCGGTCAGGCGATGTTGAGCTCGAAATATTTAATGTGTACATACCCCCTGTCACCTGCTGCCCAGCAGGATATCACCCTGGTATAGGTGCGCTCCTCAGAGGTGAAAACCGTATGGTAGTCGGTGACTTTAATGCCCACCACGATCTTTGGCACTCAAGCCTGTCAAATGATCGTAGGGGAACAGACTTGGCTGAGCAGATAGACGATTCGACATTCTGCACAATGAACGACGACGCACCCACCAGGATTATGGGCAGCTGCTGCAGCTCGCCAGGCATAACAATAGTCGGCGCTGGCTTGATAAAGAGCGTATCATGGCGACCTATGCTGACTTTGGCATCAGACCACCTGCCCATAGTTATCTCGATCGATAAACCAACCGACTTTGCTTCCGCGGAGCACCGAACATATATCAACTTTTCTAAAGCTGATTGGAAAGGCTTCGCGGAATTTACTGAAAACACCTTCGCTGCTCTCCCCACACCAACCGACGTCCACCTTGGTGAACGTAAGCTCAGCAGGGCTGTCACCGCTGCTGCAGTTCGCTTCGTACCGGCAGGATGTATAACCGACCCACGCCAAAATTTCCCTGCTGAAGCGGCTGTTCTAGCCGATGAGCGTGACAGCCTTCGTCAGGCCGATCCCGGAGATCCCCGTATCAGGGATCTCAACGCGGTGATTCGGCAACTAGTAAACGCACATAAGCGTAAGAAGTGGGAAGAGCATCTGAAGACCTGCAACTTCACCCCTGGTGTGAGTAAGATTTGGTCAACCGTGAGGTCACTGTCCAATCCGACGAAGAACGCGACAGAGTCGAAATTTCCTTCGGCGACCATGCTTCGTCGGACCCGGAGCGGTGCGCGAGCTATTTTAGCCGGCAGTTCATACTGCATCCTCCGGTGGACAAAGCCAAGCGTCGAGTGACCAGAAGGCTGCACAAACTGCCAACAACCTGTGCCCCCCTGCTTTCACTTGCGGTGAAGTTCAGGTGGCCATCGGGAAGTCGAAAGCCTCCAAAGCCATGGGTCCCGACGGAATATGCATGCATCATCCCAGGTGGGGAGAGTGGTCCCACTGCTCAAACCGGGGAAACCTGCCAACATAGGAGATTCTTATTGTCCGATAACACTCCTTTCCCCGATAACGAAGACACTTGAGGCCTTGCTACTCCCGTATTTCACAAACCACTTGACCCCAGCGAAGCATCAGCATGGTTTCCGTAAAGTGCACAGTACAACAACACCACTTAACGCCATAAACACTCAGATAACTCTTGGCCTTAACCGTAAACGTCCCTGTGAGAGAACGATTCTAGTAGCGTTGGACCTGTCAAAGGCTTTTGACACTGTCAGCCATTTCACGCTACTAGAAGATATAGATGCTTCTTCTCTCCCACAGAGGCTCAAACGGTGTTCGGCAAATTATCTAAGGGGTCGACACTCGTCGGTAATGTTTAGAGACAAATCGAGCAAACTTAGAAAAATAAAACAGGGGGTTCCACAGGGTGGTGTCCTTTCCCCACTACTGTTTATCTTTTACATTTCAAAGCTCCCTCAACCACCAGAGGTAGTCTCGATTGTCTCTTACGCCGACGATTGCTCGATCATGGCGCCTGGGAATGGAATTGATGACTTGTGTTCGAAAGTAAACGGGTATCTCTCCGAGCTTTCTCGCTTCTTCACTGCAAGGTGCCTAGCCCTCTCCCCTACGAAATTCTCCGCGACCTTGTTCACCATCTGGACGAAGTTGGTCAGGCTACCGCTGGGAATTCACGTCGATGATACACCAATTCCGGCGGTGAATAACCCCAAAATACTCGGAGTAACATTCGACAGCCTGCTCTCCTTCTCTGCGCACGCAACCGCTATTGTCAATAAAGTACAGAGCCGAAACAAGGTCCATCAAGTCGCTAGCCGGCAGTACAAAGAAACGTTACTGGCAACATACAAGGCAATAGGCCGGCCGGTTTTAAACCACGCAGCACCAGTGTGGTCGCCGGGGACTATTAGGACGCAGTGGACGAAGCTACAGACGGTACAAAACACAGCACTTGGGACAGCGACCGGATGCCTCCTGATGCCTCCAGAACACCACCTCCACGATGAGGCGAAAATGCTCCCAATTAGGGAGCACAACACGATGCTCTGCAAGCAGTTTCTGGTTGGGAGCCACAGATGTGGCCACCCAAATAGAGAGCTGCTTGCAGAGGAGCCCTCGCCTAGGCACGTCAGGAGGCATCTATATGAACTGACGGACGAAGTCCAGAGGTTCATTAAGCAGCCTCTGGACCCGTCAGCTTACAGACAGGCTCTGAACGGCATTCACAGGGACGCAGTCTCAAGTTATGTAGACTCAAGACCTGTGAATGCCATTCTAGGCACACAAACACCGGACATTGACGGGACGGAGCTCCATCTGCCTCGGGAGACCAGAACAA